TTTTTTCTTTTTGCTTATGTGGTGCTGAGGAATCGAACCCAGGGCCTCAGGCATGCAAGGCAAGCACTCTACCACTGAGCCACCTTCCCAGCCCCCCAAGTACCCATTTCTTGGTGCTCATGTTGTTAGGCTTTGACTTAGTCTTTCCAGAGAATTATACTATTTGCGTTCTCCACATATCACTCACCCAAGTGGATTAGAAACTCCTAAAAAACTAGGGTGACATTTTATAGCTAAGATCTTTGTGTGCTACCTCCTTTCCCATCTCCAACTCGCATGAAAGTTGAAAGGACGAATAAGGAAGTCTTAACTAGAGAATGGATAAGATGAATGTAAGTCTCTGCTTTGGGAAAGAGAAACACAGGCTGGAAGAGATCAGTACAAGGACAGGCACATTTCTCTTCTGAATCACGTGGGTCTTAGCTTCATTTTTCCGGGCTGTGCAATCACTAAAGCCAGGGCAAATGTATGTCAGGTTCCTTGGGAAAGAACCTGCTAACCTGGAGCCACAGACCTCTAAAGAAGGGATGTACATAGAAAACGGACCGGGAGATCCCAGCGATCACTGAACAGGGGATGTGTGAACTAAAAAGTTCAAAGAGGAAACTGGACAGAAGGAAGTACGGGCCCTACCTACTATGCTAGCGATCTCGTCCGAATTGTCGTTTCATATGGAATCAATCCGTAGCTGTTTGTGCGAGGAGTCGGCATCGAATCCCCAAGTCCCTTCTGGGCTTGCGACCGCGTGGTGCCAGGAGAGGGCGCTGTAGCGCCAGCCTAGGTCCTGCTGACCTGGTGCAGCGCGAGCGGAGGCCGGGGATGACCTCAGGGTGGGCTCCGGAGTTCCAGGGGGGTTGGGGGGGATTAAGAAAATACCACGCAGCAGGCGCTGGCGACTCGAAGCCGGATCCCTGGAATCTGGCAGACCCACTACTCCAGACCCGCTCGAGTCTCTCGGTCCGCAGCCCGACCCAGCCAATCAAGGAATGGGATCCTCGGAACGCCCGCCTCCCCTGCCCACGAGTGACGTCTCGCCGGGCTCTCTATGTTCCCACCCGGCTAGATCAAAACCCGCGCGTGCGCAGATTGTCCCGGTCCGACGCCTCTCCAGCGCGCGTTCCCTGCGCTTGCGCACTGCCCACCGTCCGTGTCTCGGCCCCGCGTTCCGCCTGGACATCCAGCGGCGCTCAGCGATGACGGCCCATTCCTTTGCCCTCCCGGTCATCATCTTTACCACGTTCTGGGGCCTCATCGGCATCGCCGGGCCCTGGTTCGTGCCCAAAGGACCCAACCGCGGGTAAGAAAGGCCGTGGCTGCCGGTGGCCGCCCCTGCCTCCGCTCGCGGGCTTCCTGAGGTCTCCCCCCAGGCGGGCGGGCCGCGCGCAGGGCGGCCCCGAGGGGAGGGGAAGGGCACGCGCCGCGCCTCAGTTTCTCCGCAGGTAAAATGGGGACGGTAAGCAGCCTTGCTGCCCCGAGGATTGCCCGAAATAATGCGCCTAAATTACGTTTTGTGCACTGGTTTTAGCCGGTTTCTACACTCTGGTTTGAAATTCTCATCACCCCCTCCTCGGCTTCCCAGTTCTGTCCTCCCAGTGCCCAGGAGCCCTGGGCCAAGCTGCTTAGTCCACGTTGAAGGGAGGGAGTGTTAATCTCTCCCGCACCACTGTAAGTGCTTTAGATCGGAGCTTGTAGGCTTTGCTTTGGATTAGTTTGGCTGGAGGCTGGAAAAGTGAGTGTTGTCTTTGTTCTTAAAAAATCCACAGGGCTCAAGGATTCTACAGTTTCATTCTGTAAATCATTCTAGGGTCACCTCTCTTGCAAATCCTGGTGAATTCTTTCTTCAGCCTGACTGATGTCTCTTCTGCTGTGTTTAAGCCTCTCTCTTTGATATCTGAGTGGGCACAAAGAATCTACCTAGACTTCCACTCATCTGGTCAAATCACTACTAAATAACCCCATGCTGCTGATCACATATATGGTATATATGTGCACACAGGAGGGAAACTAGGAGGAGGACACAAAACTAGAGGGAATTAGGGGAAAACATACAACAGCGGGACCCATCAGCTGCACTGGACATTGATCAAAATGAACTAAGCAACTCAATGGCAGCAATGGGAGGGAGGGAATGAGTGGGAAAGAGGGAACAGCTGATGCTATGCAAAACAAAAGAAATGTACACATCACCCAATGTGGAAGAAATAACTGTATTACAAAGCTCATAAAACTCATAAATGTAATAGAACACAACAATTTGTCCCATGAAAGTTAGAATGTGTTTGTGATTTTAACTAAGCATCATTATCCCACAATACTGTGAAATTTGGGAAATTATGTAATCACTTAATCACAATAAAGAATTTGAAAAAATAAAAATAAATTAAAAAAAAAAGAATCTACCTAGGCTCTGTTCTCTTTCTAACAACCCAGCTGCCAGGCACTTGTGTAATCCTAGCTACTCAAGAAGACTGTGATCTGAAAATCATGGTTTAAAGCCAGCCCAGACAGGAAAGCTTGTGAGACTCTTATCTCCAATTAACTAGCAAAAAGCTGGAAGTTGAAGTGTGGTTCAAGTGGTAGAGCACCAGCCTTGAGGAAAAAAAGCTAAGGGACAGCACCCAGCCTCTGAGTTCAAGTCCTACTACCCGCATAAGAAAATGTTCTGGTGGGAACATAGGTGACCACCAGGAGCTCCTTTTATAGCCCTAGCCAGACTTTCCGAGGATGCTGCTTCCACCTGTCTTGACCTGTTGTCCCCCTCTCTTGCAGAGTGATCATTACCATGCTGATTGCCACTGCAGTCTGCTGCTATCTCTTGTAAGTACTGCCCTCCTCATAAGTACTGCCCTCCCCAGCTTTGTCCTCCCTTTTTCCCCTTGGCTTGTTGCCCTTTTGTCCTGCTAATGAACACATTTCCAAAGCTAAAGCTGTGATACGCACAAGTGGAGGCCTTGTGGAAGGTTTGTAGGGGGCTCTGCCACCCATGTGCTTTGTGATGCTCATGGGCTCTTTACTTACCTGTGAATGCATGTGTTGTGCCAGCTCAGTGGTGTCTATCTGCTTGGGCATTGGCATCACCTGGTAAGTAGACTGTTAAGAAACAGCTTTAGGGATTCTTTGTAGATCTAGCAGATCACAGTAGTCAGGTCTGCAGCAGTTTTTGTTTTTTAACAAGGGCCCCCCAGGTGACTAGAAGGCAACCAGAAATGGTAGATGAGAGCAACAGTCTTGAAACTTGAGAAAGGTACCCTGGAGATACAGAAGAACTTCCTAAGGGTTGCAAGGGCCTGGTCAACATGAGGGAATAACTCCTGGCCTTTGATGTCTAAGCCATTCTTGTATACCAGGACAGGAAGACATCCCTCCATCCTGTCCAATACTTCTGTGTTCATTCACTTCAGCCAGAATGTCAAATCAAGTTCTAGTTTGGGGGCAAACTCTGATTGTTAACACGCTGCTAGACTTTAGTACATTGTCCCATCTTCTTGTGCCCTCTATTTCTGTAGGCTAAGCACGACATCGCTTGGTGATCAGAATTCAAACAAGTAGGACACAAGGGGGGCAGATGAAATAAACTCTTGGTCTTAGTAGAGTTTAGTCTTTAAACATTAACAGTTTTTTTTTTTTGGTGGGGAGTATGATACTGGAATTTGAGCTCAGAGCTTTGTGATTGCTTGCTTGCTTACTTGCCACTCTACCACTTGAGCCCTATCTCCAAAGACTTTTCTGTCCAGGCTGGCTTCAAAACACAGTCCTCAGGATTTCAGCTAGGATTACAGGTGTGAGACACTGGCACCTAGCTAGAAGCCTACCCATTCTTTAAAAGGCAATTATGGCCTGGATTCTTCAAGTTCATTAATTAAGGACAACAGGTCTGTTTTCAGGTCTGCCAATTGTGTGTGTGTGCGCACGCGCGTGCATGTGTGCATGTGTGTGTTGAAACTGGGGCTTGAACTCAGGGCTTGGGTGCTGTTCCTTGGTTTTTGCTCAAAAGTGACACTCTACTCTTAAACCACAAGTTCACTTCTGGCTATTTGGTAGTTAATGGAGATAAGAGTCTCACACGCTGTCCTACCCCAGCTGGCTTTGAACCACTGTCCTCAGATCTCAGCCTCCTGAATTGCTAGGATTACAGATGTGAGCCACCACCATCTGGTTCAATTTTTCAAAATCCACATTAAAAAATTTAGTTGGTTGATTTCAGATTTGGTTCATGTTATAATTTTTCTCGGTCCTTCATAGGATGTTTTATTTTAAGCTTGCTGTTCAGACTTTCAAAATGAGTACATGTTGCAAGAAACAACAGTTAACTTCAATGTGTGCTACAAGTCTCCTCCAACTGCCTTTTCAATGAGATATGAGAGATTACAGCTTCTTACATTCATGAGGTCCTTAAAAACAGCAGTATTTATTTTCTATTTTGAAACAGTTTTTTTTTTAAATCTATGAAATTGCTTAAGGGGCTGGGAAGGTGGCTCAGCGGTAGAGCACTTGCCTTGCATGCATGAGGCCCTGGGTTCGATTCCTCAGCACCACATAAGCAAAAAGAAAAAAAAAAGAAATTGCTTAAAATTATCACTTTATTTTTTTTATTTTATTTGTGAAGATACTGTACAGAGGGGTTACAATTACATGGGCAGGATAATGCGTACATTTCTTACCAAGCATTGCAGCCTCCTCCTTTTGTTTACCCTTCACATCCTAAAATTATCACTTTAAACCCATTTGTCTGCTTAGGTCATGAATGGTTTACTCCTATTAATTAATTTTCTCTTATTGTACCTTAGGAACCTACCTCCTCCTTACAAAAAATAAAATTTGTTAAAAATAATAATGACAGTCCAGGTACATCACCCACATGTATAAGCTTAGCTACTCAGAAGGCTGAGATCTGAGAGGACTGTGGTTCAAAGCCAGCCAGGGTAGAAAAGTCCCAAGAGACTCTTATCTACAATGAACCAACAAAAACCCAGAAGTGGAGATGTGGCTCAAGTGGTAGAGAGCCAACCAGCCTTAAGGGGAACTAAAAAAACACCATAAAACAAGTGAGGGTATAAGGTCCTGAGTTAAAGCCCCAGTACTAGCACTAAACAACAAACATAAATAAATGCTAGATACATGGGGATGTGTGGGTTTTTCCAGAATTCTCTTTGGATGAAGCATCTCAAAGGCCCTTCTCTTGGGCTGTTTCTTGGTCCTTTGGAGTCGCAGAGAAGGCTCAGAGAGTCTTGGAATTGATCGCTCAGACATCAGGATGTGAAGACTGATGGCTGTGAATCGGGGAGACGGTGTAAACAAGATGTGTTATAATTACAAATAACAAACATCGTGTGGGAAAGAGCAAACCCACTACAGATTAGATGCATACAGAAGTGGAGGAAAAGGGACATCTTAAAACACACACACACACACATATAGACACACACACACAGACACACACACAGACACACACACACAGAACAATGCCTGCTGAGTAGGTTGGCTCCCTAAGATTCTTCATTCCTGAGGACATTCATTCATGTTTGGGCTTGCGACGTGCTCCCTAGAAGGAGAGGAGGGACCAAGGCTTCTTTTGATGGGGGGGAGGGGTGGGCGCGGTCCTGTGGGCACCCAGCCCTCCTCACTCTGCGATCTCTGGCAGCTGGCTCATCACCATCCTGGCCCAGCTGAACCCCCTGTTTGGGCCCCAGCTGAAGAATGAGACCATCTGGTACGTGCGCTTCCTGTGGGAGTGACCAGCTGTGGCTTCTGCCCCAGGTACCTGGAAGATGGCAGGTGTGGGAGCTGAGGGTCTGCAGGGAGGGGGAGGAGAAGGAAAGACAGGCGCAAAGAAGTCTCTGGATTTAGGAATTCATTTGCTTGGTAAATGGAAGGGGGCCTGGGGGAAGGCTGTGAGCATCAGCTGTGCCTGCACAGTGCAGCGCAGAGGAGAGAACCCTGTCCTCAGAGAGCTCCCTCCAGGGCACGTGCACCGCCTCAGCTGCAGGACTGATTACTAGAGCACCGTGGGTGAGGATGGACACAGAATCTGTCTCAGGTTGGGTGAGGCTAGCGCCTGTGTGGAGCAAGATAGTAGCCCAGACAGCGGGATGTGAGGAAGGGGCAGTGCCAAGGGCCCCCAGGGAGCCAGGGAAGGCGGGGTCTCCAGAGCAGGGGGTGACTCTTTATGTGATGTACTTTTCAGGTGCCCTGCTCTCTGGATGGCCCTGGCTCAGCGTCCTTGTCAACCCTTCGTCGTCCCCACCCTCCCCAGCTGTCCTGGGCCCTCTGCACTCCCTTGTCAGCACCTTGGGACCCTGGGAGAAAGCCCTGAGCTCAGGCAGGCTTGAGCAGGGGTTCTCCTGCCTGCAAACTCCCACGGCTCCAGAGCTTTCTGCCTCTCCCCAGCAGCTCCTGGACAAGGCACGGGTGAATGGGGTCTGTCTCTGAATATGGGGTGGGAGTCAGGACGCATCCCTGACCCAGGAAAGAAAGGCATCCTGTGGAGAAGGGGCAGGGATGTGCTCATGCAGGCGCAGTCACCAACTCTGTCCCCACCCTGCTGTGCCACGCAGGGACCTTCTCCAGCCGTGACCTCCCGGGATAGTCTTAAGTTGTCATACACTCGCAAATGTGAAATTTCTGAAAATGTTGACTATAGAGAAACATTCATGCCAAGAAATCCACCAAGTATCTTTAGGTGGAGATTGAAACCTAGGTCCTTTGTAACATCCAAGTTGTTTGACGGCTTGCTCTGAAAGTTGTGTCTTAGAGCTGGGAAGGTGGCTCAGTGGTAGAGCGCGTGCCTCGCATGCATGAGGCCCTGGGTTTGATTCCTCAGCACCACATAAGAAAAAAAAAGGCTGGAAGTGACGCTGTGGCTCAAGTGGTAGAGTTCTAGCCTTGAGTTGAAAAGCTGAAGGACAGCGTCCAGGTCCCACAGCTGACAAAAGAAAAAAAAAAGTTGTGTCTCCTCATAGTGTCCTGTTCTGTCTCCTGTCCTGAGAGGGCTGACCCCCTCTGTAGATACGCTCCCACCCCCTCCTCAGAGCCTGTCCATCTGAGCAAGCCTCCTGTGCGGAAAGGCTTTCACTCTGGGGTAGATCCCAGAGCCTCTCACAGTAGCATCCAAGTGACCCAGAGCTAGGATGAGGAGAATCAGACATAGATAATGTTTGAATGGCACTGCAGGTCCCAGGCCTCTTCTGGCTTCTGAGCTTGGCACTAACCAGACCTCCCTCTGCCAGTCCCCCAAGCACACCCAGCTCTGCTGGGGAGGGTGAGGAAAAAATAGTGCAGTTCATATACACAGATTGGGGGGTTCTAGGAGCCCCAGCCCAGGCCCTCCACTCCAGGAGAGTAAGTGAGAATATGCACTCTTGCATGAGCTGCCAGAGCTAAGTCAGCCCTCACCACCTCTCCTGGTTCCGAGCCAGCCGCCCATCCACATTGCCTCTGCGTGGGAAGAAAGCCAGCCCTGCTTATTTATTGACTATTTATTGGCACTCCTTCTCGTGTAGGCATTGTCTTCAGCTGCAGTAAAATGAGGCGTCCCACCTAGGCTCCATGGGCCTGGCCTTGCAAGCCTCACAGCTCAGGTTGGGGCCTCCATGGACACCCTCGGTCCCTTTCTACCCTGACCTCAGTAGCTCTCCTGTGGGGTGGAGTATGGTGAGCATGACTTATACTGAAAATCTGATTCCTGTCTAATAAATAGTGGTGATGCAAGACCGTGATTTGGTGACTAAACCTCAGCCTCCATTAAGTTTGCTGTCTGCCACCTGATTGCCATTTCTTTGGTGGTGGATCTGGGGAGATGGAAAGGGGGCTAGCAGCTGACACCCCTGAAGCTGCACTCTGGGACATGTTTTTCAGACCTGGAAGAAAATCTGGGTCCCTGGTGACTGCCCTGGATTTGGCCTAAACCAGGCCTGGCAGGAGGAGGAGGGGGAAGGTGTAGAACCTGACCACTGTTCTATCCCAGATGCACGCCTCACAGGTTGTGCAGCAAACTAAGTCCCCACTATCACCAGAGCACGGCCTGCCCCTCCTTACATATCAGAAGGCTGCTCAGCTTCCTGTCTGAGGCTAGAGAGCCAAGAGAAACAGGTGCGCCAAGGCCACTTCAGGGAAGAGCTGAAGGAAGTCTGTTCTGTGGGGGGCAGGGAGGTGGGGTGGGGTGGGAAGTGCTGGGAGAACTGAGAAGAAATGAAGTGGAGCCAGGGGAGAGGCTTATGGTAAATCGCAAAAAGGTTTTAAAGTAAGGAAGTAATGTGGCCCACCTTAATTTCTAGAATGCTCTACAAGATGCTCAATGAACAAAAGACCAGTTGGTATCTGATAAGGGACCAGGTGGAGTGAGGCCAGGAAAGAAAATGAGGTGGGACCTGAAAGTGTGGGCAGGGTCTGACTTGTGACCCAGTTGCTCTGAACAGAGGGTCCCCAGGGTGAAGGAGGATCCTGAGTCCCTGGTTGTCCTGAGCAGCTTGGCACAGAGCACTGAGCAGGAGCAACTTGCAGAGTGATGTGACAAGTTAGGGGTTTCCTTTATTTCCTGCAAAGTTGAAATCTCCAGTAGACGCTTGGATGGGTGGACTGAGATGAGAAAGACTTGGAATCTTTAGTGGAGCAGTGAAGACATCAACAAAATAACTTGATTTCTGAGGGATGGGAGTCATGCATGGGGTCCAAAGTGAGAAAGGCCCAGAATACACCCCCAAGGAATGCCAGGGATTACAAGGTGTGTTTGAAAGGCTTGGAACAATCAAGGCAAGGGGAAAGCCAGATGGGTAGAATATAAAGGAAAACAAAGGTCTAAGAGGGGTTCAAAGGTGGGGAGTAACCTAGGACTTAGAATGCCTTCATTTTCTCTAACCCTCAAAACTCCAGATCAGCTGGCTGAGCAAGAGAGAGTAGAAGTGGCAGTGTGGCTGGGAGACAGACGCTCCGAAGCTAGCCCTAGAGAGATGAAAAGGAACAAGCTACTCATAAAATTACTCAAAAACAGTGTTTGTCTCTGAATTTCTGGCTGCTGTTTTCTAAACCTCATTTTCCCTGATCTCTCTGACCGCAAAACGAGACTGAAAACTGATGAAGTGCAAAGACAAAAATATATACACTGGTTGCAGTGCTCCCAATATTAGCCCAATCTGTAGGACCCAGCTAAGCCCGGAGTATAGATTTGGTTGGGACTGGAGCGTTGGAAAGAGGTAGCAACACAAAAGCCTGAAAATTGCCTGCTTCTGCTGGAAGACGAGCAACAGGTCGCCTGTGAAGCAAAGCTGTGCGCTTGGGTCTCCTTCCGGCACCCAGGAGACAGGCGCATTTCCCCTGCCTTGGACAGTGTGGTCTGCAGAGTGGCAGTCGGCAGAAGTCAAGTGTCGATGGGCCAGGTGCCAGGCTTCGGAGGGCAGCCCCGGGCAGGAGACACGCGGGTGGGTCTGAAGGACGGGTAAGCCTTGCCGTCTGCACGCCAACGAGACGCGGGCAGGGCACTGGGGACGATCGGCCCGGCGCCAGGCACAGGGTGACCGCCACGAAGCACGTCTCAGTGAGCGCCGGTGGCTCACGCCTGGAATCCCAGCCACTCGGGAGGCTGAGATCTGAGAATCGCGGGCGGTTCAAAGGCAGGCCGGGCAGGAGAGTCCGTGCCCCTCATCTCCAATTAAGCACCAGAGAAAGCTGGAGGTGGAGCCGTGGCTCAAGCGGTAGAGCGCCAGCCTTGCAGACTAGGGGCAGCGCCCAGGTCCTGAGTCCAAGCGCCAGGCTCAGCCCCTCTCAGCGCCGAGCTGTCCGCGACTTCCGGCCGGAGGAACTGCGTGCCGGATGCGGCTGTCGGCGCCTGCGCGCTGGGGCCCGCCGGCGCCCGGAGGAATGTACCAACCAGCGCGGACGGGGGTGTGTGCGGAGACCTCCGCCAGGGGCCGGTCCTGGCGCGCCGCGGAGACCCCCCGCCT